GCCGCAGTTGAACCGTACGGCAGTTGCAAAGTAAACTCCGCCCCGATTTCCTCGGAATCGGTTTCTCGGAGACAACCCCTTCCTCGGAATCGGTGGAGTCTCAATATTTATCATCGAAAAATCTTCTTAACATGTCGAAATTGGGCGCGAAGCCTTGAAATTTTCGAAAGAATTCAAAATGCGCTGGCGCTGCGAGACCAACTTCGTAAATCGACAAGCGCTCCTTCACTCATGAGTTGGCAATAATTCATGAAATCAACTGGATTTTACAGGAAAACCGGATTTTCCATGATTTTTCAGCAGATTTTTTCTTTTTAACGGTTTTCAGCAGACTTTAATTATTTTTATTTATATCATACTTCAATTTTAAAACTGGAAACATGCTTCTCTGTTTTTTATGTGTTAAATATTTTAATTTTATCTAATACTTTTCCAGCTGTAATCGGAAAAATGGAAGTAGACCCGAGTTCATCGTCGTCTTCAGATGAAGAATGCGAACCGTCCGTCGAAAGTGCTGCTTATGTTCATTCAGCGTAAGTGATGAAAGTTTTAAAAACTATGAATATATTCGTTAGTTATTTCGAAACAAAATTCAATACTTTTCGTTCTACTGCTAACCAGTTTTTTCAATCAGATTTATTAATTTCAGAAGCGTCAAGTTGTCTGTTGGTTGTGAAGAAGCAGCTAGAACAATAGCGGGAGTAATAAAAATCGATAAAGAGCCGAGCAGAAGTGGCGCGCGACGAGAAGTGAGCAGTGAAGGAGAATATGTTGTTATGTAAGTTCACGCCTTAAGTTAAAATATTATTTTGATAATTTTTGTTGTATTATAGAAACATTGAAAGCAGAGATCCAAAGTCCCTGTCAAAATCAATCAGCAACGCAGTGGATATGATCGAATTGTCCGCAAAAACTTTGAAAATGTGTGATAGCTTCACGAAGACGAGAGAAAACGGTTTAAAACGGAAGCTTCCTGATAAATCTCTACCCTGATCTCTAATTTCGTTGTTTTGTTTGTTGTTAGTTTTTTTATATTGTTGACAACTGATATAAAAGTATTTATAATTTGTCGTTTTTCAAAATCCGATATAGGTCTAATAAGCCTTACTAATGCTTCGGCTGAATAGAAACTGAAAAAAAATAACTATGCACAGATGTTTAAAAACCTAAAAAATCGACTGGATAATGAAGCTGGGAAGCTGAAGCAGTCCGCCCAGCAATACACTGAACAAATCGCTGCACAAGTTGGACAATATAGACAAGCCATGGTTATTATTTTAAATTAAAAATTTCTGTCAAACATCTATTTACAGAACGAGCAGGCAACTGGTAGTGACGCAAACGCTTCTATTTCTAAAAGGTTTTTGAACTCTGTTACAGGAACCACTAATCCTGAAGCCGGAGAGTCGAAAGTAGAAGACCTTGCGGACGTATCAATTGTGAGTGCGAGTTATGCGTGTGCTCAATGTCTCGTTAATGCTTTCAGGAATCCTCCTCGGCCATTATGTCTGAAATTCCGGAGGCGGACCTCCTCGGTCTTGGTCTCTCTTCCACGGAATCACCGAGCAATCGACGTCGTCGTTCACCATCAGCAGAATCGACACATTCCAACGAGAGCACCTTGGCTTCTCTTCTTCAATCAATTCCCAATGTGATATCATCCGCCTTTGAAACAATACCATCCGATTCTGAAAGTGTGACTAGCGAAGCATTTTCCGTGCGGTCTACAAACGATCCGGTAGGTCCCGACGACAGTTCTCCTTACCTATATTTAAGATCTTTTAGGCGTACAATTCCCGTTTGAAACAACGTCTTGCGAGTTATAAAGCCAAGTACCGTGATGCTGTTCACCGTCATAACAGACTTGTTGATGAAGTAACAGCGACAAAGAAGATTCTAGAAACGACGCAAGACGAATGTCTCCAGAAAGTTGAAAAACTGCGTTCCGAAAAACGGGTTCTCGCTGAAAAGCTTCGTGATTCTGTCGGGAACCGTGACGGAAAAGACGATTTAGAGAAAAAGTGCGAGGACTACAAACGGATGTTAGAGCAATGCAAAAATAAGATCAAGGCGTTACAACAGGAGAAAAGAGATCAGTTGATAAATGTAGATGACGATGAGAGTCCTCGTATCAAAGAGTTGGAGTCAAGAATTCAGAAAACAGAAGAGGAATGGACTACGAGAATCAATGAAAGCGATCAGCAACATGCTATCGTTTTAGCTACCACGAAAGCTGAAATGCACGGTGCATTGGAGAAAAAAGATTCTGAAGTGAGGCCTTTATATATGGATGTTCGAAAATAATTATTTTTCAGATTGAACAATGGCGAAGAAAATGCGCCGTATTGGAGCAACAGGATGCCGACGCAAATCAACGATGGAATGAAAAAGTGGAGAAACTTCAAGCCATGAACAAAGCGTTAGAAGCCGAAAATAATGAAATGATTGACAAACTATCGGAAGCGAAAACTCAAGGAGTGAAAGCAGTTTTAGAGGAGGAAGAGAAGAAAAGAAACATCCTGGAATCAGATTTGAACGAGGAAATCGAACGACTCAAGGAAGAAATTGAGAAGATGACTTTGGAAATGTCATCTTACAAAGTCAGACTGGAAGCGAAAGAATCGAGCGAGTTTGATGAGCACAATGAAGATATCGAAACAGTGAGTGATATCACTGTTGGAGCTGATTAAGTGATTGATTTTTGCAGCTCAAACTAGAAATCGCTTCCGTTCGATCAGAGAAAATTGATTTGGAGTCAAAAGTGGCAGATCATGTTTCAAGTTTTGATATCTATAGAGCAGAAGCTGAGAAGACGTTAGCTGCCGCGAAAGAACAGTTAGTTGTTTTATTTTATTTTTTTATATCGGGAGACGGTGTAAGAGCATGTTGGCACCAATTTAAAAAAGTCTTCCCTTTCTCTATTTTTGAGTTCTCCCTTATGTTTTCAACCACTTCATGCTATTGTTGACTACTATGTTGTATGTAATGTGATATTATGTATATTTATGGTGGAAATTAAGTTCTGGTAAGTGAAAAAAATTAATTAGCGTTGAATCTGAATTCTAGATGATAGTTCAAACCCACAAGTTAAGGTTTTAGTTTTTAGTAATTAGCATTTTATCTCTTTCTCTACATTCTTTGTTTTTGTCAATTTGGTTTTATCACAAGGATTTCTATGTGGAGTCGGCTGGTCCGAATGTCCCGTTGAACAATGATTTTTGTCTGAAAAAAAAGTCTGAAATGCCAGATTCGGAAAGAAGGTCAGCGAGTGTGACAAGTGGCGCGAGAAGTACGAGGAGCGGGCTGCCGCTTCCGATCACATCGCCACCGTCGAGTTCGAGACACAGGAGACGGAAGCTCATCGCATTCTGGAGTACGTGAAAATTTAGAACCAGTGAAGTTAAACCTGAAAAAAGTTCTTAGAGAGAAAATTTCATTCTTAAACGGATTTGATCCTGATCCGAACAGAATCGAGTTCATGTTGTCTTTGTATGAAATTGCTGTGTTTTATTCTTAGTTGCTTGTGTTCGTCTTGTGACACACCCTGTTATATGGTAGAATTACTGCATATTGTGGCATGAAACTTTAACAAATGAAATTTGCGAATCTTCGTATAGGAGACACAAAATTGCTAAGTACCCTTTCTAAACCATTTATTCCTTCTTTGGCTGGTAAACCAATCTTCTTCTTCTTCTTCTTGGCCCATTGCATATACAAACAATACGGAACAGAGTAGTCTAAGCCCGGCTATAGGATACTCATCCGATTCTTAGATTTCAGTTCTTGGCTCTGTTCTCATAGTCAGATAATAAGAAATTCTGACAAGTATACCCCATCGAGTGTTTAGAAAAATTAGCTATCGTTTCCTGATGTTTACAAAAAAAATTGTGTCAATCGTTTTCTTCCACACTCCCTAGTGGAAATGTCGTCAAAATTGTTTCTTTACTTCTCTTCTTCTTCTTCATGTCCCTTTTATTTTCTCTTTTCAATTTCAGTGATGAGCAGTAGCAGCAGCATCACATCACGTCCTTTACATCCTTTTGTGTCGCTGTTTTCTCACAAACGCACCGCCTAGCCTTTTCCACTATCGGTGGGCACGATCTCTCTATAAGTCCATCAGTGCTCCTCACGAATGAACATTTTTTGTTCCTTTCCTTCTATTATAAATAAGCGCTACACAGAAAAGAAGAATCTCGGAACTTTTAGGATTGCTCGTCTCATTTAATTTTCGAAAACAAAAACACAGCTGTCTGAACTCACTGGTAGAAAAACTCATGCCCCACAATCGCTCACCAATTTATCACAACAACTTTCCCAAGGCCTAGAAGCATGCGTAGAATACCTTTCCCCGTGAATATCTTGCTCATTGCATTCATTTCACTAACTTCTGTTCCTTTTTGACAAACTGAAACAGTCTAAAACATATATTTGTAAACTATTTTCATGAGGTTTTCAATTGTAGATTCGAAGTGGAAAAAAAGACTTTGACCGAAAAATGTGAGAATCTGATTTCCAAATTCGAACAGGCTGAGAAGGAGAAAAATGAAATGGCGGTATTATATCCAGCCCAATTTCTCTATTTATGTGCTTATTTTTCAGAAACAACTATCACTGCTTCAACAAGAAATGCTCGAAAAATGTGACGCTCTTCAGATAGAACTGAACGAGGCCAGAGCTTTGAGAGAGGAGACGCAGAGAAAGTACGACGATGTTGCACAGAAAGCCGAACAGATGCAAACGGAATTGGACCAGAACAAGAAGGATGTGGCTAATGAGAAGGAAGCTTTCGAGGTAACCGTCATCGTTTCTGATTTAATCAAAATCCAAAAATCTTTTTAGAAGGAGAAGGAGCAGGAACGCGCTGAGCAACTGAATAAAGCTTTCGAGAAGCTGGTATGTTTTAGAAAGGTTTTGAATTGTATGTTTCTGTTTTCTTTTCAGGCTGAGGAACAGAAAACTCTTCAAGATGTTAGCAAAAGATTGGAAAAGTCAGAAGAAGATGTAGCATTGTCTCAAAAATCTATCGAAGAGTTGACACAACAGCTTAGCGCGTCACAAAAAGAAACTACTGAAGCCCACGCTCAATTGAGCGAAGTCAGTACAAAGTTGGATGGTTCACAGGTACTAAAAAATGTTAACTTCCCAATAAGATTCCACAACAAAAATATTTTCCAGACATCGCTCAAGGAATTTTCGGAACTGGTGGAGTCGCTGAAACTGCAACTTGTCACATCGGAGAAACAAAAAGATGACGCCGTGGAACTCCTCAAACAAAAACTAGAAGACATCGAGAAAAATTTCAGTGAAGTAACTTCACAGAAGCAACATCTTCAAGAATCTATGACAGCCGAATTGAAGACTCATGCTGAATCCACCGAGTCCTTGAAAAAACAACTAGAAGAAGCGCAGGCATCTGTTGAGAGTTTGAAGAAAGAAGTTGAGAATGAGCGTAATCTGAAATCAGCGATAGAATCTCATGAGAATACAGCAATTTCTGAAATGAAAAAGCAAATGGAGACTGCCAAGAAAGAACTTGAGACATGTGAAAAGGAAAAATCGACATTGCGAGATCATATGGAACGTATTCAGAAGGATCATGATTCTGGAAAAGAGGAAATTCAAAACCTACAGAAAACCTGGGAGGTTGAAATGATCAAAATCTCCAAAGCTACTGAAGACGAGAAATCAGCTCGAGAGCAGCTACTGAAGGATTTAGAAGTTCTCAGGGAATCGTCGAAACAGGTCGAAGTTGAAAGAGATGCTGAAGTTGATAAAATTCAGGAGCATCTCAAAGTCTCTCAAGAGCACCAAACAGCTCTGAATCAAAAGATTCAGGAGCTTCAGGATGCTCTCAAAGAATCACAAGATCAAGTAATTGAACTAAAGACTGCATCATCCAATATGACTTCTGAAACCGAGCAGAATGTAGCAGAAAATGCAAGTTTACGAAGCTCTGTCGAACAAGCCGAAAATATCCAGAAGTTCCTGCAAGAGGAAATTCAACATCTCAAGACTTCTTTAGAAGCTTCCGAGGCGAAAGCAGAAGGACTTCTGACTAGCACATCATCTGACACTGAGAAGCATTCTGAAGAAATTTCAAAACTACGTTCCTCTCTCGAAGAAGCAGAATCCCTTCAAAAGACTTCGACCGATGAAATTCACCGGCTGCAAGAGTCCCTCAAGAATTCACAAGAGCAATGTCAATCGGCCCAGGCGAGAGTTTTGGAACTGGAGAAACAAGAACAGCAGAAATCTTCCGAAGAATCAAATCAGATGCAGATTATGCAGAGAGATCTCGATGCATCCCATCGGGAAAATCGAGAACTCCAAGAAAAGTGCCAAGTATTAACCGATTCATTGAGTACAGCCAACGAAAGCGTTCAGTCACTAACATCTACAACGGAGGTGTCAAAATTGGACAACGAATCTCTCAAACAACGAATAGAGAAGCTAGAGAAAGAGATACAAGCAAGAGAACAAAATGAACAAGCTCTTACTGAAGAGGTAATTCTGACCTTGAAAATTTTCAAAATTTCAATTTCTTGCAGATAAACGTATTAACAACGTCCTTAGCCGAAAAGGAACAACAAATGGCCCAAGTTAACGATCTCCAAACTAAACTACACCAGATGGAAGTCGAGAAAGAGGAGCGTGTTGAATCAGTAAAAGTACAATTGCAACAAGCCGCCGAGAGCTCAAGTTCTGCAACGCAAATCTCTGAATCACTTCGTAGTGAAATTGAGCAATTGAAGACGAAAATTCGAGAGACCGAGGATGCCAAGGTATGTTTGGGATGGTTATTGGTTGGTCTAAACTAAATCAGCATCTTAACTCGAAAAAACATTTTAAACCATTAAAAAAACTAATATCGAATCTGCACTAGTTCATATTTTCTCACAAGCCTATTCACTTGCATGCACTATCCTCACATCTTCTTATTTCTCGTTCACACTGCTCCTTTTTAGATTCAAAATTCGACGGAAGTGGAACAAAAAGTAAACGAACTTAACGACTTGAATGAGAAGATGCGTGTCGAGTTTATCGCGAAGGTCTGAAATTTTGAATCGCTTGAAATGTTTGCCTACAAACACAGTAATCTAGGTTTTTTTCTAAACTTTGTCGCTTCTACCGTAATCTATCTTGACTAGCTTCACAAGCCTAACAACAGATGATGTTGAACATAATCTTTTTTGCAGTGTTCCATAAAAAATAATCCATAAAAGTGTGTCTTTCATTACAGGAAAAAATAATTTCCGACTTGCGCGCAGAACTCGCAGCAATCAACAATGATCTTGTCGTTCAAAAAGCAAAGGTCGAAAAATCGAAAATGGACATGGATGAACTTGAATCGAAGGAGAAGAGAGCTGCATCTGATCGTGAAAATGAGAAACAGGAGGAAATTCGATTGAGGTAAATCTACGCGCTACATTTCAATTTGAATCTGTATTTTCAGAGAAACGTTTGCCAAAGAACTAGAAACCATGGGATCAGCTTTAGAGGCAAAAGAAACCGCTTACAATGAGTTGAAACAGAGGGCTGAGAAGAAGATCGCTAAGTTGAACGCGCAATTTGAAGAGAAATTGAAAGCAGAAGCTGAGAAATTGGTTAATGCTCAGAAGAATCAGGATGAGGCTTCTGAATCTCGAATCAAGGAGCTCGAAGCGTCATCAGAGCAGTCCAAACTGGAGCTGGAACAACGATTGCGAAGCTTAGAAGAATCACTAAAATCAATTCAATCGGAGAACGACGCTCTGAAACTGAAGGAAGAAGCTGCTGAAAAAGAAAAGGGACACTGGGAAGTAGAGAAAGAAATGTTAGAAGGAGAAGCGAAAGAACTTGCGGAGAAAATTGAAGGACTGGAGTCGGAAGTAAAACGATTGACGGTTGCTAATGAGAGCAAAGCAGCGAAAGCTGATACTGATTCGAGAAAAGTGGTACGGGAACTACAGAAGGAAGTTAAGCAATTATACAACGAGTTGAACGACAAGAACCAACAATTCGATGCCCTTCACGAAGAATTTACAAATCTCAAATCAACCAGTGAATCCGTTCAAAACGGCCAGCTTCAAGTTCAAAAACAACAGGATGACGAAGACAGAAGAAGTGAATTTTCGGTAGGATATCGAATGAGATTCTGAGCTAATTTTTTTATTTTCAGTACAAAGAAGAGATTGCATCGCTGAAGCAAAAGCTTGACGCTTCCCTAAACGAAGCAGATGACCTTCGAATGCAAGTTTCTCGTAACGACAAGAACCCTCGATCGAATGGAAATGCAGTCAAAACGAAAACGCCATCGATGGAATTACACGGAATTGCTGACCCAGCAGAAGCTGAGTATCTCCGGAATGTACTGTACCGGTACATGACTAATAGAGAAGCTCTTGGAAAAGAGTCTGTGGTGAGTATCCTATTTTTTTTGAATACAAATATTGGAAGTTTTATTTCAGACTCTCGCTCGTGTCATTGGAACTGTAGCTCGTTTCGACGAATCTCAAATGAAACAAGTGATAGCCAGTGAAGAAACGAGACAAGCGAGTTGGGCTGCGGCTCTCAACAGATCATAATAGACAATGTTCCCAATTAACTGAAATTACCCTCAATCTTGCTCATTTTCCTCAGCTGCTTCCTAATCTCTAGTTTATGACTGAATTCGGCAAATAATTTCACTTTTTTCTCCTTTTTGCCCACCCGTAGATTAACACACTAGAGTTCTATAATTACAAAATCCTGGATATCATCTACCGGTTGTTAGATATTCAATATCCCGCTTGTTTTTTGTAAATTTTGCTCTTTTATATTGCTTTGATTTATCCCAACTGTGATTTAATATTTTCAGCTAAGTCTTTAGATTAAAGTGATAAATTTATTGTATATACAGAGAGCGATCTATAATAAAGACGAAACTTGTATAACTCTTTTTCGTCTTTTCTTATTTTTATTTTTCCCAACGTTCGCCCTCCATTCCATACTTGATGAAGTGAATCTTTCGGAAAATCAAGAATAAATTTCAGAAGTCTCGAATAAAATGAATATTTTGAAATTAACAAACGGTCGTGAGCTTTCCTACCTGAATGAAGTCGAAATTCGGATGGGAATCGATGAAAGAAAAGGAGAAGAACGGTATAAAGACGAATTGGAAAACATGGGAATTTCAGATATTACAGTTCACAAATATGAAGGAGGATTCAAGGTTTAGAAGCTGTAGAAAACTATTTGACTATATTCAAATTTTCATTCTCAGATTTGGGAGTGTACCGTCGACTTGTGTGATTTTATTGAAGAGAACCAGTCGTTATTTGCTGGAAAAACAGTGTTGGAGCTGGGATGTGGTGCAGCACTTCCATCCATTCTAACGGCTGTACATGGTGCAAAAGAAGTCTTCGCTCAGGATTTTGTAAGTGTGTAGTCGGACTTTATAGAAATAAGACTTATTTCAGAATGCGTCAGTTATCGAGTTTTTCACAATTCCAAACTTCGAAGAGAATCCACATTCAGCTGTCGTTCAGGGAGAAGCGATGGGATGGGAAGAGGTACCGACGAAGTTGAATGGAAGAAAGTTAGTTTGGTAAAAAAACTGTTCTTCTATAATAATTTATAGATTCGACTTTATTCTATCATCGGAAACAATCTACAACGAAGAAGACTATCAGGCTCTTCACGATGCTCTCGTGGCAGCAATAAAAGATGATGGAGTCGCGTAGGTTGTTATTTAGAAACTTTGCTTCAAGTCCTTCTTTTAAGTTGGTTCGCTGCTAAATTTTTCTACTTTGGAGTTGGAGGAAGTGTTCCGGCATTTTGTCAATTCATCAATGAACGTGGAATTCTTGTAGCTTCGGAAGCCAAAGTGATCCAGGCATCAGTACCCAGAAGAATTATTGAAATCAAGAAAGTCTAAAAAGTTGTTTCCATTGTGTTGTTTTTCTCATTTTGTTGTTCGTTGTTTGTTCATTAAATTGTTGTTCATTAATTCATTAAAAGTGTTAAAATGCGATGCCTACCCGTAGAAGTTTGTAAAAAAGAACAAGGAAACGTTAGGAGAAAGTCGGGAGAAAAATGACAACGTTTGTACTGACATAATAAGTAAAAAGAGGAAGAAAAGGTACAAAATGACTAGAATTCTTGATGACCGTATCGGTCGACGGGCCACATGCATTGGCAAGATACGGGAACATCGGAAATTGTATAGGGATGCCAGTGGATGGAGCCGACACTACGACGGGAGACGTGGACCTGAAAATAAGATATATTTTTATTTTATCTCTAATATCACCACTCACATCTGCATATTGCTGTACACATCGTAACATTCCTTTGAAACACGTCTGTTCTTGACCGGAAAATACATTTCCATTGGATGACTGAGTATTTAGACATCTCACTTCTACTACGAAAGGAGGATCAAACTCGTGACTAAAACATTTTTCGTGTTTTTATAAACTTCTATTTAGTTACCTCTGGGTATTCAACTCGACTATTTTCCGCTGATTCTGACAAAGCTCCTCGTTTTTCTCGCGTCGATTCTGAAATAGACAATTACAGGGTTGCGCATATAATTACCCGTTTGTACGAGCACAAAACTTGAGTTCAGCGTTGTACTGAGCTCAAATTGAAAGTGCAGAAACTCAAAAAATTCATCGTTAAACTGGCCAAGTCTCAAATTATCTGACCAACTTTGAGCTGAGTTATCGCTTGTCAAACTAGCTTCATCTCATGGAAATCGCAAGGGCGTACAAGAAACAGGTCATCATTGAACAATCATAACAATACCTAGATTCGAGGAATCGTTTTGAAAATTTTGTAGCTTTAAATCAGACATAAAATTATATTTTTACCAATTTTTGTGCTTCCAAAATACTTATGTCTAAAGATATACTGTAAACACTAATAGAATGCCACCCAAACCATCAACTTTGAGCCCATGTATCTCATTTCCTGTAAAAGGTATCAAAAAGTGGTCCACTGACAACATTTTTTGATGGTATTATGAACATTTTTTTAGTAAATCACTTTTTGATATCTTTCACAGAAACTGAGATACATGTGCTCAAAATTGATAGTCTGGGTGGCATTCTATTAGAGTTTACAGTATCCGTTTTTATCAGTCTGGGTAATTGTGCGCCACCCTGGAACTTCAGATTTATTTTGATTGTCATACCTTTTTATGATTATGATGATGGTGATGCCTATGATGGACTACTGTAGGTGGTGTTGACAATGTATTTGGAATTGACTTTTCAGAACGTATTCTAAGTGCAAAATCGTCATCTTCATCAGCCTTTGGAATAGTCATCGACATCTCGTATAATTCATCGGTCTCGTTCATTACAGACGGCTGAAAAATTAGATTTCCGAAGCTCCCTTTTCAACTGTTTTAGAATTTTTTCTACTCAGTTGTCATCGATAAATCTCATTTCAAAAGGTCTCATGCTGTGAACAGGAGGTGAAGGAAGGATAAAAAACGAAGAAGAAGGAGTGTTTGTAAAGGAGAAGAAGAAGGAATTCTGTGATTAATCGGATTCCCTCATTTCAGTGTATGCAAATATAATGATGGCGTTTAGTGGGTGTTCAGCCGCGGAATAGGAAAAAGAAAGGAAAAAATGAACACGCACGATTGAAAATGTATAGGAAGAATGGGAGAAAAGAATTTAGGAATTTTAGAAGCAAGAAAAGGATCTGATACCTTCTGATGACGATGCCTCTTCCGGTGAATCCGATCACGAAGGCGCTCGAATCCTGATGATCTTTCTGAAGACAGATTCTCTTTAAAGGAAGGATAGGAGGTTTTTTGGAGATTTTTTCGGAACTCCTCGAAATATGTATATGAACGGAATTTCGAAAATATAATTGTTTTATCCCCCATCTTTAACATTTTGATTTCAACGAAACTCACTGTAAGGATATGTGTGAACGAGGGCGGAGAGCATCATGATGAGTAAAAGGAGGACCTTCATAGAACATTGGCACACACCGATCGGATAACTTGAACTTAAGAAAACCACTCAACCACACATTTGAGAAACCAGAAGACGAGTACGGCAGGGTGAAGATGTACTCTGGAAATTTCAATTTAGTGATGGTTTTTAGGAAAAAGGCATTTTCCGTAAAACCTGTAACGAGAAGGGCACCTAACTTTTAACTTTGAGACAATTTATCTCGGTTCCTGTGAAACTTAGAAAGTTGGCAAGTGATACTTTTTTGTCATAATATCAAAAACAGTTTATCAGTTGACACATTTTTGATATCTTGCATAGTTTTGAGCAGAAAAAAATCAGCTTGACAGTGTGGGGGGCCCTTCTTTTACAGGTTTTACGGTAGATAGAAAAGTGTCAGAAAAGAGAGAACTGGTAATAGACAGAGAATAGACCTCCCGTATATTTTCAGTTGAAAAAAGTTTGACTAATAGATTGGTATGAAAGTGAAACGGTGGAGGTTTTTTTTTGGACTTTTTCTGAAACTTTTAATGGAATCGGAATGGAGACAAAAAAAGAATCATCGTTTTCTATTTTCCGAATAAAAAAGTTTGGCTTTTCGCTTCACATAATTCAGTTATAGACACAGAAACACATCGACTGCCTTTTTTGGGAAATTGGAATAGTTAGAAAATAGTTTCAGACAGTCGAGAGAGAAGATTTATGATCATCACTTTTGGAGTTCGAAACATTGAAAAAAAACCAAATTCTTTTTTTTTTGAAAGGAGAAGAAAAAGAATAGAAAATCGGAATGTGTATGACAACGAAATGGCATGGAGACTAAAAAGAAGATGATGGATGTATCGGACAATTTGAAACAGGGAAGGAGAAGGAAAAAAGGACGAGAGATGGTGACGTGGCAAAGCTGAAAGATTACGGTAGCTACAGAAAAGGGTAAAGTTCCTTGAACCATTATGAAGAGAAAAAAATCTTTTGGAGCAAACACAAATGTGTAAAAAGGTGTAAAAACACAGTGGATGGCAACTTTCGAATGTGTGAACGGTAAACAGAATGGTGCGTTCTTGACGCAGTTTTTGCTCACCGATCACTTTTTTTTTGATTCAATGGTCTTCTCGGAAGACTCTTTGGCAAGATGCCCGTCACGTGGTCAGCGTATTTTGAGCCAGGATTTTCTGGAACCAAAAAAAAGCGAGTCATGAAAGAAAACTGTCCGAAACTTCTGGCCTAGGGTCATATTTCCAGAATTACCGTCATTCCTCTAACTGAAGTCCACTGAAATTGTAAACTTTGAGCTCAATTAGCTCGATTCTTTTGAGAGATATAAGAAACTTGTCAACTGATATATTGTTTATCAAAATATCCCTAACATTTTAATAGTTGATCACTTATTGATATCTCACAAAGCAATAGAGATAGTTGTTTTACGGCATTTCGCGAAGAATACATATTTTAATGAAACTTCCATGTCTGAACTCCACTTATGAATTAGTATAACAACCAATGATGCAACTTTTCGACCCGACCCGGGATTCGAGAATAGAGCACCAGGAAGCCAAGTTCTGCACCTGTTTGAGAAACTAGGTCAATTTCTGTACCTACGAAAATGTGTTTTTGACCAATTTGAAACTTTTTGATTACATAAAATAAAAATAGAGCTTCATTTTTGTAATTGACAATTTTTTTCCGGAAAATTATCTGATCAGATAAAACGTGATGAAGCAAGAGTTCCTAAAATTTTCACGGAAACGGCAGGAAACTTTTTTTTGCCTAACTAACATTAACTGATTTTAAGGCATTTATTCTCGGTTAGTGGGAAAGACATAAAAATTATGCCAACTAATAAATTGTTATCAAAATATTTCAATCATTCTATCAATTGACACATTTTTGCTATCTTCCACAGGAATTGAGATAATGGAGCTCAAACTAGGCAGTGTGGGGGCTCTTCTATCACATGTTTCCCGGCAATCTAACTTTCTTCCGTTATCTAACACGGGAACCACTCCATATGTTACCCGGGGATTCGGATGAAACCTATCTTCAATAGTAGTACACAGTCTAACTAGAACAACCCCAGAATTATAGCTGCCGTCGTTAAGGTCTATTCAAATGGCGAGGCATTTTATGATTTTTCGTGAGTTTAGAGTCGGTACCCTTCGAGCAACCATAGCTTTGTTCATTTTTACTGTAGACGTTCAAACTATTTTTTATTCACAAGGTAAGTTGGCAAACATTAATGGTAATTGCACCTATGCTCCATCTCCAAAACAAAAGTCAAGAAAAATGAAAATACGAAAATATCGAGTTCCAACGAATTCAAAAAATGTCAATTTTTGAAAAAAAGTGCTCGGGAGACCATGTCTATCAGATTTCTCAGGGCGAGTAACGTACATATACATGTTCAAATATAGGTCGAGCCCTTGAGTTACGAGACTTGTTTCAATTTTTTCAAAAAAAAGTTATAATTCATGTATAATTTATAATTCATCTATACAGTTATAATTCATCTATACATGAAATTTTTCGAAAAAATAAAGTTTTCGAAAATCATAAATAACAAATAAAAATAAAAAGAAGCAACAAAAGATAGTTCAGTAACTGAAAAGGGAAGCATTCGATACTAAAAATTTTTTTCGAAAAATTGCATGTATACATGAATTGTAACTTTTTTTTGAAAAAAATCGAAATAAGTCTCGTAACTCAAGGGCTCGACCTATATTTGAACATGTATATGTACGTTACTCGTCCTGAGAAATCTGATAGACATGGTCTCCCGATCACTTTTTTTTTTCAAAAATTGGCATCTTTTGAATTCGTTGGAACTCGATATTTTCGTATTTTCATTTTTCCTAACTTTTGTTTTGGAGATGGAGCATAGGTGCAATTACCAATAATGTTTGCCAACTTACCTTGTGAATAAAAAATAGTTTGAACGTCTACAGTAAAAATGAAAAAAGCTATGGTTGCTCGAAGGGTACCGACTCTAAACTCACGAAAAATCATAAAATGCCTCGCCATTTGAATAGACCTTAACGACGGCAGCTATAATTCTGGGGTTGTTCTAGTTAGACTGTGTACTACTATTGAAGATAGGTTTCATCCGAATCCCCGGGTAACATATGGAGTGGTTCCCGTGTAATCAGAATTTTCCTATTGTTGAAACATCATCACCATTCTAGATACATTGATGAAGTTTCCAAAAAAAAATCGGAAATCAAAAGACTACTCAAAAGGAAACCTAACAAAGTGCTCCCATTGCCTCTCCCGCCTCCACAGTAACTCTATTCCTAAAAACGGATTGTTTCGGAACTTTGACGTGGCAGTGGAATGTTTGTTTGCTACATGCCTCGTGTTACATATGTACACCCTTTACCCCGCCCAAATTGAAACCAGTTCCGAGACATTCTCATCTCTAGAAAATGAAATGAAATAAGAAGAAAAAACGGAGGTCAGAGTCAGAAATAGTGAAAAGATCACAAAACGAAATTGAACGAAAAGTACAAAGCGGGTCACTAATCACATCAAATATCAGAATTCAGATTCTGGAGCAGTAATTTTCGGGATCTTCAATATTTTCACTCGAAGAACATCATCAATTTTGTTATTGTTTTCTCATTCTCACTTTTTTCTCCAATCAATTATCAACTCATAAACTGGTTGATAATTAGTACTGAAAGTTCAAACTGTGAAGAACAGCTGAACACAACAGAATTAGTCAGAACAAGGAACTAGAAGAAGTCATACTAAAAATAGTACTTTGTAAACAATTGGAATTAAAAAAAATTATAACAACCCAAAGGACAACGGTCAACGAGAGGGACAGCCTATGATTATAAATCGTTTATCAGACAAATTACAAAAATTGAAGTGTTATCGAGGCGCCGAAAAGGTACAGAGACTGATTTCTGAGAGATGCTCAACGAAGAAGAAAAATAGGAAAGTATTGAACTTTTGGAATACCTTCGCCTTCGAAAGTAACTGGTTTTAGGTTTTTTTGTAGTTTTTTATTACGGTGTTATTATGCTTGTCTGAGAAAAAAAAGGTTAGAGAGTATTTTTTGCAGTCTGAATACGGTAGCGATATCGACGCGGAGAGCCTAAATAGCACACAAACGGTGGAGACGCAGACACTTTTTCTCTGCGTCTCAACCTTTTTTTCTCAGACAAGCATAATAGTGCTCAACTACCGTAAAACCTGTAATTGAACGGTCACCACACTGTCAAGTGTGAGCTTAATTATATCAATTCCTATGCAAGATATCAAAATTGTGCTAACTGATAAAATATTTGTGATAGTATGATAAACAATTTATCAGTTGAAAAAATTTTTATATCTTTGACAGGAAACGAGGAAAATTGGCTCAAAGTTAAAAGTTAGGGGGACCTTCTATTAC